TTTCAGTGACACTTACAAATGCACAGTAGTTTGTAATGCAAAACTTCTATCAACTTGAGCTGTGATCGTAAATTATTTTAGCTCCCCGGTTATGGCATCCACTGTTTTTTCACTTACCAATCAAGAGAATGCAATTTTAGGGGTAACAACAAGTCATGTGACTGTCTCGCTGTAATTGAAACCTCAGTGACTACTGTAAAACATGTCGTTTTCGCGAACATGTCTTTTTAGCTAATTTAGCGAGAGAACTGATTCACCAATTCAAGATGTCGCTAATGACTTTATTATAAATTAAAAACGACCAAGGCCTCGGGATTTGTATACAGTAATCTGAAACATGAAAATCTGGGGCGCTTCCATATTACACTTGACAGGTTTTCTTTGTTTTTATGGAGGTTTTTTTGGTGCGCGACAGGCAAGTATTGTGAAAACAGAAAATCATCAATGACAAGAGAGATTCGCTAAATCAACATTTCACTATTACGTCATTTAACCACAATTCGCTAAAATTGTATGTCGCTTTTTTCAACATGTTTTACAGTATTTGCATTTATGGTTTATTGTAAAAATGAACTGTTCTTTGATATTATAGGAGTTTGTAAGCGAAGTGAAAGCTCAAGGTGGATCAGCCTTTAATAAGTATGGTCAGACTTTGTATAAAAGTATTATGATAAAACAGGCTCACTTAGAAGAAAATGATGGACAAGGTAAATTATCAATACGTTTGTTAAAATATTTGTACTTTATTTACTTTACTAGAATCACGTCTTAACAAACCTATTGTATGCTAGAACATTTATCTTTTCACCACCAGTTCCCTCTTCTCATCACAAAATAGTTTCGTTTATAGTCTGCACTTTCCTTCAGAAGATTGAGACAAAAATAGCCAAATTTTTGAGTAAAAACTAAAAATATATTCAAATTTTGTCTTTTGGCTTCAAACTTAAGGTTCATTTCCAGAAATATTGAAGAATATAAGAAAAAAGTGCAGACAAATTTGGGCATGGAAGGCTGGTTGTGAAAAAGTTAATAACCATAAAAACAAGTCTGTCATTTAGGTACTGGTAATTATATGCGCTACTAATAAAGAAAATATTGTATGTGTTTCACATAGTTGTAAAATAAAAACTACTGTAAAATCAGTATTAGAAGCCGCGGCTTCTATTGAAATAGTACAATGCAACAGAGGGGATGCGGCTTCTATTAGTGCATCTACACATGATGAATTGTTGGTTATTATTCAAAAAGGATGGGTGCGACTTCTATTAAGAATGCAGCTTTTAATACAGATTTTACGGTATTTGATATTTCTAGTTTCTTATACTCACACATCAAGATTAATCTTATCATTTAAAATTAAGGCAGCCATACAAACTGGCTTCCCTGATTTCTCTCTTCAGATATCTGATTTCTGATTTGTTTTATAAGGCCAAGCCGATTTAACATGTCAGAGACCCACAGAGATTTTTTGTGATGCAACTAATTATGCTAATTACCTAGTGCAACTGAAAATCATACACTGATTAATGATTTTAATAAAAACATCTTACTGTATAGTTATGAAATTTGTTATTTGGAAATGGTTTATAGACAAAATAAGCGTTAAAGGAAGTCAAAGGTCATATAATCAGTTCTCTACAGTCCTTCAGTTATTCTTGATTTTGAAGAGTTATCTACAAACTGATTCATCTCGTTTTTTATTTCATTTGACTCACTACAAAATCAGAGTTTTTGCCATAGGAGCAACAGTGCAATGTACTTGATTCAGACAATTTAATGACAGGTGTTTTCATGGCAACAACAATGGTGTTGAGATGCATTTTGTTTGTTTTTCCAGAAAGCGATGAAGACAGTGCCGCAACATCCAGAAAATCCACTCCAGCATCATCACCAAGGAAACCAAAACCTTCTCCATCTAAAGTTACATCACTCAATCCATCCCCTCCCAAGGTAAATGTTCGTAAGAGGAAAATACACTCTCAACAAGTTTAACGTTAAATCGTCATAGTTACTGGCCTTCAAAATCAATACCATAATATTTCTACAGCGTTATATACATTTATTTCCTGACACAGTCTCCGAACACAATGGCCACACAAGATTTAAATTTCGCCACCTCCAAGATGGCCTGATCACATGACAGGATGCCCACATTTCCTCATTTGCATCTCGCCCTTCTGTCATCTGATTTGCTAAATTAAGTCAACTTTAAAAGTACATATTATTGTGCTGTTAAGTTTTGATGATAAGGGGCTTGAACTTGGTGTTTTGCCAGCTTTTTTACATCATTTCTAGACTAGTGTGTAGGGGAGACTGTCATGATATACCGCTACACTCTCCTTGATACACACAATCACACTCTAATTCAAACGCTGGATGTCTATTTAGTGGCAGCCATTACAACTCTACATGTCCCATTGCATCATGGGTGGTGAGGTCAAAAGGCATGACCTCTATAAACTCAATACACTACAACTGGGTTTGTTTATGTATCTATAGTATGTACAACATGTGTGAGTGTCATTGTTTATCAAAATGGATTCAAAAAAAATTTGACAAGATCGTAGCCTATATATTGAAATTTTCTGCTTATATAACAGGACAGTGAACAGCTAAGGAGACAAGCGCTAGAAAAAAGACTTGCAGATGAAGAGCACAAACTACAGTCAAAAAAGAAGAAGAAAAAAGGACTTTTTTGAATTCAAATTGTAACATTATTAAAAAAAATTTAAAATATTTTTGTGCCAGACGACAGTGTCTGATATTAAATGTCACTGTTGTCTTTTCTGCATGTATGTAAATGTGTCAAAATGGGTGTAGTGCGAGTGGTTACTGCTAGTAGCACTAATCCGAAAAAGTACTAGATCTAGCACTAAAATGGCACTAGATCTAGCACTAAAATGGCACTAGATCTAGTGCTAAAATGTGCACAGTGCGAGTGGCATTGTTATCGCATTGTCAACAACGTCGAATGATAGGAGGGGCATCAACAACCACTTTCATATGCAAACTACAAACAGTATAAAACAGTATAATATGCGCAAGATGTCCATAATAATACTTTCTTTATATAATACTGGATTCTGCCGTAAATTCGTCCATCCAAAAAATCGCCCTGGGGATTTCACGGCTGATGGGCGCTTATTTGGGGTTCAAAATTTCAAAAAATAATCAAATATTTTGGGGGACATTTTCATTGTATTCAACTACACCGACTTTCTACACCGTCAGTTGGGCCACCCAAGACGAAAGAAACTATTGCAGAATTAACAATAATTAATAATTCTTGCTGAATTAAAAAGTAGACCACCTGAAATGTCATTGCATTGTCGCCCAGTGTCATTTTTCAAATATATTTGTCTTTATTTTATTGGTAACAAAAGTATATTTTAAACGACGTTTCTAATAAACATGAATTGCGTAGCAGCACGGTTACTAAAAAAGACTGTGCATGAGTTGAGCTAATAGGTCAAATCGCTAATTAACCAATCAAAATGCTGGATGATGTCAACGCGTTCAAATCACCATAGCTCATTTAAATATGTTAATGTTATTGAACGCAACGCGGAAAAGATTTGCCGATGTTTTAGTACGCTCTTTTGGCTTGGATTTTGATGGGGAAAATGGCATGATTTTTTTAAAATAAAAAATAGTTGTTTTCAAAGATGAACTTAGCATTAGAAGAATACTTTAACATTGTTTACAGTGATAACAGCTCTTTGTCCAAACCAAAGACAATAGAAAACGGAGCTTATGCTAGTCACAATTAAACACGCTCTTGAATAAAAACTTAAATGGACTGATTGTCCGATAAATTACGACAAAATATTTAAAAAAATAAATGGTCTCATTTTTTTTAACGCGACCATACGCTGGGTTTGTTTAGCTGTGAAGGGTTAAAATACGTATTTCACAACCGGAAATTCAACAGACGAACTTGTTACTTCACATGTTTTAATTATTAGCAACTG